CAAGCACATAGTTCTCCCATGAAGCAGCTATAAATCAGAACATTGAATGACTTAAATACTTGGCACAGAAAAGAGATCTCAGTAGTTTCAGTCACCAATTCATTGATGCAATCCATATATCATTTATTGTATGATGAATTTCCCAGCCAGATCTCACTGTCATTCTTCTTGCATCTCCCTTGTTGATGACCAGGTTACATGAAGTCAGGTGTCGTATTTACAGCATCCTCACTACACACACACACACATACATACAAACATCAGAATATACAACAGCCAATGCCTTACTAACATCTCAGTCTTTCTAATTCACAGCACATTAAGTCATGTGTGGCAGGATTTGCTGATCTTAGCCACAGAAGATAGCAGAACTATTCTGCGCCTGAAGGTGAGACCAACTATATACTGAGATAAACATTTTTACCCCAAATATTCTTATTTTGTACCTGTTTTTTTTTAGTTGGTTGGTTGCTTTTTCGGGGGGGAGGGAGGGGTGTGAGGGTTGTCCCTTACTATTTCCTCCACAAAATTTTGAATAATCAGGCAGGCTAGGCAAAGGTTGGGTACAAACCTCCATGTTCTTGTTACCACAATATAATTAGCAGCAATTAAGATTTATTCAAAGAGCAGTTGTAGCATTAAATGTGTGACCACCCAGGAGAATATCTCATGCACATATTTGTATTTTTCCTCTCCATTTTTTCACCTAGAAAATCCTAAGAAGTGGAAGTTAACCCTACATCTAATGAATACATGTACTTCCAAAACATGAAGCTCAGATCTTATAAGTAGAACTGGTTTGGTGATACTGCCAAAAAGAACCCTAAACACTGCTGGGTCTCCAGCTGGGTATTTCCAAAATCAAAAATACAAAATCATAACCGCTTTTCATAATACATGCCAGAGAAACAATAAAATAAATTTATTATGACACTTTCATAAGGAGGTTTTCCTTTTTGCTCTGCTGCAAACTCATTATCCATAGCAAATCTTGTCACCACTTGTTCATTGTCTTTTCTCTCTCATCTTGGATGTTCCCCCTATTTCATGTCCCCATTTTCTATGTCAGTATACCTTTTCATTAATCTCTCTCTCTGCTCTCTTTTGCCATCTGTATTCCATTCTTCCCTCATTTTTCTTCTCCATGGTGCTTCTTTCCTCCTCAGGAGCACTTTTCATTATGATCCCTTGGAAGTGAAGATCCCTTCTTTTACTCTTCCCTCTACACACCACTTACTCTGCCATCTGAGCCACAAACATTTGTATCCACATCGGTTAAGATAAGAGTAATGCATTTCCTTGGTCAAAGGCACAAGATGCAGAGAAGACTTTTTCCCCATTGTGCAGTGCTTAGATGCAGTTCTCTCTCTTTTGCTTGTTTAATCTGCTTTTGAAATTTTGGTACTAACCAGCGTCTATCTCTAGTGAGAGGTTGCACTATATGGGCTAGAGATATGTGCAATCATACTCCCTCTAGTATTCACAACAAGAAAAAGGTTTTGTTTTTCATAAAGCTCTAACACACACGGTGACATCTGCGTGACAACTTAATTCACCCACCTCTGCAAGTAGTCAGCTCCACTCTGTTACAGAAGGAGTATGAATGAGCCATAAGGCAGCTCAGTGCAAATAAAGTATTGCTGTTGGTGTGGTTTAACTGCAGGTTAAAGAGCCATTCACTTGCCCTCCTCCAGTGGGATGGGAGAGTGAATCAGAACAGGCACTGACTGGTCACCTGAATTGCTAAATCCAGACAAGTGCTCGAAGCAGTCAGGAAGCTGATGTTCCTTCTGTGGCCTTTAGGCACAAGCTGAAAGAATAAATACTGGACAATGGATCACTAGCTGTCATTTTTCCAAAGCTGGAAAGAAGGTTTGCCTTAAAAAACTTATGGGAATTTGTAACGAGAGCTAGAGGAAGACCAGTGAATCCATCTTAAGAAACCATGGTAGGTGTATCTCTCAAGTTTGGTATATAAGATCCCTACCAGCTCTCACAGTATTATCAAAGCCTGTAGAGAAGAAAGCTGGGCAGCAGCAGCTGTTCACAAGCAGAAATTGCAGACTAACTTTCAGAGAGCATCTCAAGTATTTAAACGTTCAAATAAAGGAGGCGCTTTTTTTGTCTCCCTAGCTCCAGTCTTTTCATGCTGTTATTTTACTGATAAAATCTGGGGAAAATATGCTGCTGTTTTTATAGTGCAAGACGATTGGCAAATCCCCACTTTAGAGAAGTGTAGGTTGCAGCACGCATGGCTAACGATTAATGATGCTCATTAAAAAATGAAGTTCTGATGAAATTCATTAATGCTTGGCTTGAGTCTTGCTAACAGTTATGCAACATTAAGAGCAAGGCAATTACAGATCTTGGCTGCAACTCATCGAGAGATAAAAGAACACCCTTTTCTCCATTTAACTCAATGTATGGCATGCTATACTACAGAAATAAACTGTCTTGAAATGCTTCTTGAACAATGAGACACAACCTGCAGCTTCATTGCCACCTGCGGGTAAGTGCTGGAGTCTGTCCTCCTGTTCCACAGGACACAAAGAAAGGTGTCAACAGAAAATAACTGCAATAAAGAAAGAGCTGTGCATCTGACTTGCCCAGTTAGTCATGAAGTCACTTGAAGGAGACACCACCTTTGGCTTTTGAAGTAACTGCTACCATTTGAACAATTCCATGCGCTGTTCTATTCACACTCCTGAAACTTTGAAATACTGACAAGTAGCATTATTCTAAATAGCACTGCAAGAAACTAAGGTAAGGATGAACTGCAGCCTAATTGAAGGGAACATGAACAGTGGATGGGAAGAAAACAAGTTATGGTTAGCAGCTTAAGCAAGACTTCCAAGAGTATACAAGACAAAGGTTGCACTTCCCATTTCAAAGCTAGTACCCGATGAAAGAAATGTTTCTGTCCTTACTTGCTAGCAGTAAAAGCACATTGTGAGACTTAAAGTGAGAAAAGCTGTCCTTACCCATTCAGTAGAAAGGGCAGGTTGTAAAATGAGGCTGTTGGTAGGACACACATGTTGACGTGCACAGAAGATTCCAGCACACTCCTGTGCAGCTTGACTCTGCTGTACTAATGGGAGTAAAGGCTTCTATTTAATAAATCTGACAGAAACTTAAAAATTAAGACCAACCTTTGTTTTCCACAGGTGCACGTTTTATACGGTTGATATGTCAATATATACTGTATTGAAGTTCAGTACATACACTACTGTTTTCCCTATCATTTGTTTGTAGTTTGTTACAAATCTCGAGAAAAATACTCTACTCCAGATCTTGATTTCTAGACTGGCCTTCAAAAAACTCTGTATTACTCCCCACTGACAACTTCTAGGTCAAGTATGAGCTTGCTCTGCATTTTCTGTAAAGCCAAGGCAGAGACTCCAGAGAAACATCAGCTCCTTGTTCCAGGCAGTAATTCTGCATGGATGAGTAACCCTAGGTCTCCTGTCACTGAATATTTTCCATTAAACTGAAAAACAATTTTGGTCTTACCCATCCTGTAACAGAAACAGTGCCTTGACAAAAAGCCTAGTGTTAGTAAGACACTAGTTAGTAAGGTTTAGGTCAGTGACAGTCAGTAATGCTTCGAAGTTTTAGAAACTCAGGCAACAGTTACTGTGCATATGGAACATTACTGTATGACTGCACTAAAGGAAAACAATCAGTAAGTTTAAAAGGCAGAGGCTTCCCAAATTAAGAAGGAATTATTATATTTAAAAAAAAAAAAAAATCTACTTAAACCAAGACGCATGGATCTCAAGTATCCTACAAAGCAGGGTTAATGGTTTCTCTTAAGTCCAATGATACATTTTCTTTTGCACTCAACAGAACTTGCTTGTTCTATCCATACCTTCCAACATACACAATGACTGGTAACTCTTTAATCAAGCCCACTATACCTAAGAAAACTAAAATTTTTTATTTAGTGTATGTAGGAAAGACATTTTCAGTGAGAAGGAGGGAAGATCCATCACAGATACAAACTCTGACTCAATGTTTCCCTCAATAAATTCATAGTGGTCAATTGCTTAAGGTTATTCACAGGATCACAGAATAGCCAGGGTTGGAAGGGACCTCATAGATCATGAATCTCCAACCCCCCTGCCACATGCAGGGCCACCAACCTCCTTATTTAATACTAGACCAGCCTGCCCAGGGCCCCATCCAATCTGGCCTTGAACACCTCCAGGGACGGGACATCCATAACCTCTCTGGGCAGCCTGTTCCAGTACCTCACCACTCTCTTGTCAAGCAACTTCCCCCTGACACCCGACCTAAATCTTCCCTCCCTCAACTTAAAACCATTTCCCTTGTCCTGCAGTTATCAACCCTTCCAAATAGTTGATTCCCCTCCTGTTTGTAGGCTCCCTTTAGGTTCTAAAAGGCTGTAATGAGGTCATTCCGCAGCCTTCTTTTCTCCAGGCTGAACAAGCCCAGCTCCCTCAGCCTGTCTTCGTACTCAAGCCCAAATAGTATCTGCCTTGGTGAAATCATTGTCTTTACATTTGCACAAACAAAACGAAGGCAGCAGAATTTTACTAATACTCATTATACATTCTCCGAGCAACTGCCTAACATAGTGCCCCTAGCACTGGAAGCAGAACCTGTAAAACAGGACCTAAGTAGTAAGCACAGCTCTTACTGTGCACAAGTAGAACTTGATAGCAGGATGGACTTCTTCCCCCCCAGTTCCTCAGTAGTGATCCCTACTGACAGCCATGTTCACTTAAGTCCTGCCTCCCAGATGTAAAAATTTTAGTTGCTAATGTCCAAGGCTATTTAATATGCAAAAATTTTAGGAGTCAACTTTGTGCAAGCAGAGCACTAGCTCAAAGCATTTCACTTTCGGATGGGTCATTAATCCCAGAAAGAGGTACGCATTTTAACAGAAGTCAAAAGCCTAACAACAACTCTTTAAGTATTCCACAGTAAGTGTTTTTTAAATCTGGGAAAAGTAAAGTCACCACAATACATGCTAACAGTGCAGTTAGAAACAAACTTTATTGTTGCAGTTTGAAATTATTTACACAATATAAATCTCTTTCGAAGGTACATTACTTCATTTAATCAGTGGTAGAAGGCCTTATAATAGAGCTTCAATAACATTTAGTTCAAAAGAAATACAGTTCACTCCAATGGATAAGTGATGCACCTAAACTCCACAACATACAAAAAGGGTCATGGGGACTTTTGGGGCGATGACAATGCCAGAAGATAAAGGTTGCTTCTTAAGTTTAACTTATTCACAGCACATAAATGGACTCATGTTTAAAAGAACACTGGCAAATATTCAGTTTTTTTTTTAAAAAAAAAGAGACACAAAGAGGAATATACCCCTACTATGCTATGGCCCTGTTTCTGCAAGTAATTAAAGGGTTTTAGACAGCTGGATTGAGACACTTGAGACAGAACTAAAGAATCTAACTAAGTTATATTAAAGATTGGATACATTCTTGGTGCTGAGACTATTCAAAGCACTTGTGTACAAAGCAGCATTACTGACTACCACGGATTGTACTTGAGATACAAAATGTTAAGAACATTTCTACCTATTAAAAAAAAAAAAAATTAAAAAAAGGTCTGTCACACACTTAAGACTCGACACCTATTCTTTTTATTTTTTATTTTTTATAACAGTTGACAGTTACTACCACCAAAAGCTAGGAAACTTTTTTCCCCAATCTACTCTGCATTTTATGGGATTGCATATAACAGTTTTTAATGCTTCTCTTCTGTGGTCTCCTTTATCTTGTACTTTGCATGAATCTCTACCATGTGGAAAAAAAATACTACATCATGAAAAAAATGCAGTTGCAATATCACAGAACATAAGGCTAGTGCAGTACCTGAAGTTATTTCATCATTTATTTTTAACGTTCATTAGATTTTCAAGTAATGCGCTTTCTAAATGTTCACATGACTTAACCAGCACCAGGATTTCCCAAGGTCCATAAGCATCACGTATTTTGGGGGGCTGTTAATTAAAATTCTACACAACAGGGAATCCGAGACAAATGCTCCAAAATTTTTCAGAAGACTACAGAAGCAAACAGTGTAAAATTATGAATCAGAAGGGAGTTAATATGGTAAAGCCTGGCCACTTGTTCTAAGGTCAGACTACACTCTGAGTTCAGGCCCAGCCCACATTCAGTCAGTTTTCTGACATTTATCAAGGATAACAAAACCTACTATTGAACCACCTGGTGCACAACATTATCTACACTGTTAAATAAATGAAAAGGCCCAACATGCACCTGAAAGTTTGCAAATTAACTGTGGACAGATTTTAACACATAGGTCATTTTTTAGAATGTCTCCTCCCTCTCTGCCCCCCTTAATTTGGCTGGTTTCTAGTTACAGCAAATTAAACTGTACAGATAGATCACTTAGAAAAGTCACTTAAAAAAAAAAATCAGCCGGCATCTCACCACATCACTTAAAGCACCTCCACACAACTGGCACATGCAAACAATTTGTACATTTTCCTTTCCCTTCTAGAGGTCTAAAGGCCACATACCTTGCCTTCTTCTGATATACCCCACCTAAATTTGTGTGGCTTCTCACTGCCAACAGTTCCTTTAAGTGACGTGGTTGGCTAACAGAAAACCTATATTGTGCAAGACCAAAGGTCATAGCTTTTCATCTCTTAAATCTGATGAAAACATTCAGCACGAAGCCTACAATGTTCACATGCATCTGTGAACACATTTAAAAATACAAAAAAACAATATAAAGAACAGATAGCTAACTCAAAACAAAATATAGATAGGATAAGGTCAACCTCTTCTACTAGCTACAGGGAGAATTACCCCGAGCAAGAAATTATATTACAGTGGGCTACAGAGCAAAGCTGTAATTAGAAAAGCAGATACCTTAAGATTCCTTTTGGCAGGAGTTAATAATTGTGTAAGTCTTTTCTAGCTAGCAAACGTTTTAAAATAAATTTTAACTTAACTTTGAAACGAACTTTACCCATTTGCTCTTGTCCTTACACCATGCAATAGGCATATTCAATAACTTGCTATGTTGAAAGTTCAAGTTCTCATTTCCATTTGGATTTCCTTTTACCCATATTTATTGAGCCCAACCCACCTCTTGACAAACATTTCTATGACCAGCTCACTTCCCACAACCCTCAGTAACTTAAGAGTCAATGCTGATAAGCATGTGTACTTTTCATCCACCACAGGTAGAGCTGACAACATGTGAAAACTGTATCAAGATCAATTTGTCAGATGGACAACAAGATTCACACACAAGTGTTTTCCAGTAGAAACACACAAGGGACAAGAATATACTAACAGCTTGAAAGACATCATGCAGTTCAAGACTGGTATTGAAAGGCAACAGTAATGAGACACAGTTGGCCATTTGGGGACAACAACTGCCTATGCTTCACTTCCAAGGTCAAAGGCCTCTTTAGCAAGGGACTTTATACAAAATTATTCTGATGAGGAGTCATATAGTAACAAATCAGAACACAATTTCAGTCAAAAAATATGGATTAAGTATGGAAAGGAAGCTTTTATAATCATGTTTCCCCTAATGAATTAGGGTTTGGGGGTTGCAGAGAGAGAGCAGTGCACACCTCCTCCCCTAAGTCTCAGATAGTCTAAAGAAACTAACAATAATTCTAGTGTGAACGAAAATGACTGGTAGAACCACTTGAGCGATCTGAAGTTGAGGGGGTTATTATAAGCATTTACAAATTAGCAACTAATCCTATTTTAAGTCTATATCCACCAAAAACATTTAAATTCGGAGACTTCTATCACAACTAACTCAATTGCTGTCACCACGGGAGCGCACACTTAAGAGTACTTCAACATGCTTATGGTTTAGAAGTCACCAGCATTCAAGAATGTATAGGAATTTTTTTTTTAAATTTTAACAGCCTTCCCTATACCGTAGGTACTTACAGGTACCTCTGATAGACCATTTGCCCTATCAGTATAGACTTTCTCTTCATTTTAGCATTATATGAATTACTTTTCTTTCCCAGAATCATTCCCAAGAACAAGATGTTAAAAAAGGTAGCAGGGAAAAAAGACACAGGGTGTCCAAGGCTATAAATGGATACCTGAACGTAACTACTATGATTTGTTACAGATAAATTTAACAAAAGAAGTCAGCACACAGAGTTAGATTTCTTCTTTACATCAAAATTTCTACAAAATAGGAGAGAATACAATGCAATACACAAGTCCATAAAAGCAAGGTACAGTACAATTCACACTAATTTACAAATGGTTATTTACACTGTTTTATATACATATACAGTCAGATCTGGTTAATACAAATTTAGTAATTCTAAAATGCAAATCAAGACATATAAATGAATTTAAAATTATATAAGAACAGATCAGTTACTCAGAAATCTGTAATGCTTATACGACTTAAAAAATTAAGCACTGATTAGCCAGATCTGACTGCAGAAATGAGAAGAAAAAAATTCACACTATTCTGCTTTACAAAAGCAACCAGGCCACTACGGTCTATTGACTTGATGCTATTTATGCAAGAATGCCATTATTAATAATCCTCTTTATATTTACATTACAGGTTTAACTACAGTAAGAATTATTAATTTTGGCATTTATGCCCTTAGCTTAACATAAAGGCAACAGAGTATCTTCTTGGCAAGTCACAGTCAAAACTACTACAGGATGATTCTAGAGCTCAGTCTTTTTTGCCTTCCTTCAAATATCTTAAAGTTGCTATTAAGAGACTGAGAGAAACTAATCAGAACAAGTACACATTCTCTAGTTTGGTGCTTTAGTACCTAACTTACATTCAGAATGTCCTGTATTCACAGTTTCGAGCTACCTCAATATTTGCAATGCTATTGAAAAAACTACTGCTTCAAACTTAATACATCTGTAGATATTCTGTTGCAAATGAGAATATCTGAGTGCTACTGGCTAAATGTAATGTGGTACAAGAATCAAGGTAACTGGCATTTCATTTTGGAAAAGTTTACAGTATTTTCTCCAAACCTTATATCAGGAATTGTTTTATTCTGTACTTGTCTTGAAAGAAAGCTGATGCAAAGCAGTATTAAAGTGTGTAAAATGAACTTCAACATGCAAAATGAAAGCCTCTATCAGTACTGCAAAGTTGACCACTATAACCTGTGATAATCCTTGTGCTTCTTCAAAGTGGCTCAGAAAAAGCTTGCAGTATTTACTATCTGCTTGAAAGTGCTTTTATGGGAGATTCAGTGGAAATTAACTCCATAAGAATGAGATTGAGCTGCATTCACAAAGAGCTTTGGTTCTGCAGAAGCGAGTTTCTAAGTTTCCACTTCTACAGTTATTGCTACTTGAACTATATAAACAAAGTACTACTGAAAAAAAGTTACACTAATTCCAAACTTAAGTAGAACTGGTACTTGAAAAGGGAATGTGGGTTGCAAGCTGTTGGGAAAGTTAGACAGGATCTGTCAAGTGCTGGATTTCCCAAGACCAACTGAATTTCACAGCCTCTTACACATTTTAAAAAACAAAGAAACATTGTCAGAAATAAAGACACCATTTGAAGAAAATAAACAAAAAATCAAGTTCTAAAATTTTTATCAACCTTACTTCCAAAGAGATCATGCCATACTTGAAGGGACTACAAAGACAGCAGGTTATTACTCAATATATGTCAATCATGCCTACAGGGGGAAACTACAGAAAACAAGAATCTTCAGTGCTTTCATGAGCTCTAGCAACATCCTCTATATCCGCTACAAAAGAAAATATAAATGTCAATTTTAGCTATTCATTTCTATTTAACTACCAAGATAGTTTGTCCAGTATATTAGCCTCCAGCTAGCAAATGCTAACAAAAAGGGTTATCCAACTTCAAGTTATAGAAAAAAAAAAAAAGCCCAGTTTTACCATTGCGTTACAGTTAAGGTTTTGACTAAATAATTAAAAAAAAAAAAGAAAACTTTCAGAGATGAATATAAACAAGAGGGAAAAACCCAACCCTTGCTTTTGTTAAAAAAAAAAAAAAGAATGCCATTCAAAATGGTTGTTCAAGGTGAAAATTCTTCATTCACATCAACCTTCTTTGTCTTGAAAGAATCAAAAAAGCTTTAAAGCACTCATGTATGTATATGTTATTTATATGTATATATATATACACACACACACAACAGTATGTCACAAAGCAATTTAGAATAAATATCTTTGCTGGAGCTTCTCCCCATAATATTTACTCTTCAGTTAAGTTTGTGACTGCATGTGTATATGCACACACAGACTTTGTACATGTGGGCACTTAAGTGACCAAAGTGCAAAGTTTTTCAGAGTATACCCAAGAGCTGAGTATATGCCTGCCCAACTCCAAATTGCCTTGTTGGTTTTATTTTGTTGTTTCTCCCTATCTCTTCTAAAAGAGTTTTAAAGCCTCTTTTCCATTTAAGCTTACATATGGTTTTCTTAAGTAAACATTTTCTTTTCAATTCACATTTTGTAATCCAGACCATTCTTGGTATAATAGCTTTAAAAAGCTGCATGTGACTATCAAAGTCCCATTGTTCAAGTCATACTTTTTCATGTTATCCTTCAAACTGGAGATTTTGAAACATAATTCGCTGCCACAGAAGAAAAACAGACTCACAGAATTTGCAACTACAGGACCAAGCATTTAAGACTAGAATCCAAGGTTAGATGATGACAAAGCAGAAGGAAAGACAATATACAATATAACAAACTGTAAACCTAAGTGTCTTGCTCCCCAGTGCAACAGGATCTCTGCTCACTAATTTGCAGTTCAATAGTCCATTACGTCAGATACTGCTGAAGCACATCAGAGACCAGAATAGTGTTCAAATTTTGAATCAAGTTTCAAAAAGTAATTCAAATTTTGGAACAGTGGTCTATTGTTTAAGAAGTTTGCTTAATAAGCAGCAGCTTTCCCACAGAAGTTAGAGATGGTACACTCCCCATCTAACACTGTGATGGTATGGAGTCTAAAAGAATTTGATGGCCACAGAACATTCACATTTCTACAGCTTAACACAAAGAAAAGAAAGTCAAAACATTATTTATCATTTTAGCAAGAAGGCTGATTCTTATACAAAAGATAAGTACCATAACATGGAAAGCTACCTTTTTCTTTATAAAATTAAAAAAAATTAAAAAGATCATCCTAACCCTTTTCCCCTAGTTACTACATACCTGTGACCAGTATCTCTCATTTTGCCTGTACAGATCTAAAAGGTTGATATCCTCTGACTGTGTAGATCCCTAATATAAGTTAATGCAGCTCAATAAAACAAGTTGTTAAACAAATCCTTTGGAAAAACTTCACCATTTGCACCCAACTTTTACAAAAACTGATGAAAGCAGCAATGGAATCATGTTAAACTTAAAATAAATATTTCACATACAACATGTTAAATTACAAAAAAGGATTAAATTGCCATTTCTACAAGTTTTTCAGATTTAGCAAGTTTCTAATCCATTTTATATCAACAGCAGTACGTATGCTCTTCATATTAAATTTAACATTGAAGGACTGTTTAGAGGCATTATTTATAAAGCAAGAACCACCAAGTGAGCATTACAGAACTTCAACAAATGTTTAGCTTTTTTTCCAGTATCCATTCAGAAAAGATTCAGGGGTTCTCTATCCACTTGGTAAGTTTACTCCTCTTCTTTACTCTGGGAGAGTTAACATCATGACCTCCAGCTTCATTTTGAAATACTGGTTAAAACGAACAATTGCATACCTATTTAAAGGGAAAAAGATCTGAAGTTAAGAGCAGACAATGAGAAACAGACAGGCTATGTCCACTCAGAAGTCCACCTAGCCCAGAGGCTTGTTTCAAATACTAACTCATAGCAGCTACCAAAGGAAGAAGAACAGAATAACCATACTATGGTACTTCCTCAACACCATCACTCCGCCACTCCTACCAGCTTGCTAGAGTTTGCAAAACAAATGCTATTTTGAGTGTATCAAAGGTGCCATCTTCATGCCTAAAGTTCTTAATAAAGTGTCCTACAACTGAAAGCTACACCCAAAAAAAAAAGGAAAAAAAAGATCTTGTTCATTGGAAGAATGCTATTTTTCTGAACCGCAACACGGCTGGATTTTCTCACTTGTGCTTTTTCTTGCTTTTTGCACCATCTAGCGGTTACTTATAAGCACTTCTCCTTGGAATTAACCAGGTACAAGCCACAGAAGAAACTCACATTGGTATCATTTACATAGCAGCACAACTAAGCCTAGTAAACTGGCTTAGTCATTAACGAAAAAATATCCTAAGCTGAAACAGAAACTCATGCTAAAGTGAAATGATGGATTTTATCACTTCTGCCAGTTTCCAACAAAAGACAGATATATTCTACTGCTTGCTGTGATGAAAGACTTAAAATAAATAAATAAATAAATAAATGCCAAAGACCTGAAACAGAACCATTAGCCACTGTTTCAGTAGGCAGAACTTAATGTTCATTGGCATTACAGAGGTTCTTTTCAAAATGTTCAGAATTTCTAAGATCAATATTCTGTGCAATAAGATGTAAGCTAACTTCTTCATACAAGAGGCCCATTTCCTGACTCTTGGGGACATACCTCTTCTGACAACTAGCACAGCACAATGACTGGTCTTCTGTGCCTTTGTCTCTCCAAGAAAAGCCTTTTATCCTTAGCCTTTTATCCTTAAAAGCATTTGCTCCTCTAGTTAAGAGCCTTGCCTTGTTACACTAACTATTTTAGACCAAAGGCATGCATTAATTTAGAAAGTTTTCAGGAGAGAGGAAAAAGACTGTAAAAGCTGTCTATACTTATTTTCAGTTCAGAAGTTACAGTACAACCACACAGATCAGACACCTCAAACCTCACAGCTTATGATAGCTGGGATACTTAACCAGATGGCCCCAAAATTCCCTTCCAATCTCAATTATTGCATTATTACATGAAGCAAGCATACTTACCCTAGAAAATCAAAGTCAATGGTGGAATATTTGGCTTGAATTAGAGCCCACAATCCCCAGAAGAAGTGGGAAGCCTAATGGAAAACAAAAAGATCAGGAAAGATTAGTACTGTATAAAAGCATATATATAAGTGCATTTTTACATTGAAATAAAAGGAACATCTACAAGACAACTCCCTCTAAATCCATTTTTGTAATCTTCCTTAATATCTCGTCATCAAAGAGACTGATATGTAAGTATTACAAAACTACTGGCAGAGTAAGTTTATTGGCCTCCAGACACGTTTGTTGCGTTTTTTTTCCCCCCCAAGAAAAATAATGTTGCAGTTGTGAAAGAGTTCATCATCTATTAAGTAAATTGTTGTGTGATTACATACATCATGTCAAGTAAATAGAAATAGAACTGCTACTACTGTTACTTTTTAAACAATTTTCTGTTAATATCCTACATATATTCAACTTCAAATGTATATAGAGAGTTCCGTTTGAACCTTTGACTACACCCTTAGGTTTTAAGAACCACAACTCACTTTCACTACTGACTTGGACAAAAGCATGATCTGTAGCTACGGAAAAGAAGCTCCTCACCATTTACACGTTTGTAACCTGTTTCAACGATGACTGCTTTACTAGTCCAGAAAAACAGCCTGGAGGCCTGTGCTCAATTCCTGATTGAAACCATGGATTGAAACTACTATGAATGATGTGACTGATAATGAACTTTCAAACAAATATACACAATGGACATGAGCTTGATAATCACCTTATTGAAGTCATTTCTGGACCACTCAGGTTATATACAATACACTTTTGACTTCTATTCAGTTAGTAACTGCTTATAATAAATTGTTTCCCAGAGCTTGCACATAACTCTTTACCAGAAGTATAGAAGACAGCTTCAGGCATGTATGCCTGAAAACACTTTAAAACAGCAACCATTATATGCAAGCATGAATCCTTCCTGCATCTCTGAGTTTTGATAGCTTTACCTGACAGTGAACAGTTTGGAGCTTTACATCAGCATCCATTAATTTTTCTGTTACTAAAGCTTCCCACATTAACTGACACCTACTTGTATTTGGCACTATTGGTGCGTTGTGTGTGGCCTTAAGGCACATCTTAAGTTGTTCTCTAAACAGAACACTATTTTCTCTTAAAGATTAGTATGACTGTGATTTAGAATTGACAAAACTAATGCTATGTATATTTGACACCAGACCACCAGCCAACATAACTGCAAATCTAACTTTCCTAAATGAAAGAGACTAACGAATCCAGTAGATTATAGAGATCTTAACAGAAGAACAAATTGGTATTAAACTAGCCCTTAGAAAATACCATCTTCTTAGAGTAGGATCTGTATTTCTTCAATATTGCCATTAGCTTCTTTCCAGAAAACTGAAGGTATTACAGTATAAAGGTAAGCTTGGATTAGTCAGAAAGAGAAATAAAATAAGAGAGAAAGAGAAATCAAATAGGCGTTTTAGCCTTAGTCAGCCTAAGAATAGTTTAGCATGTTTTACTCTTAGGAGAAAGCAAAATGAAGCTTTTACATCTGAAGTCTGAGAAGGCAGACTGACAACAGACAGGAGATAGTATGACACACAATATAGAAGACGAAGAGGGGAACAGACTCACACAGTCAGCCCTCAGAAAACCCCCTGGGATCATTAAGACTACATGTGCATTTTGCTACAGTTTAAATCACTCAGCTTTCCAGAACACTGAAGGCAAGGAAAGAATTATGGTAGTACTGAAAGATTCTAAAAAGAGGTCTAATCACTTGTTAAAAAAGTCAGAAGTATCCTAGTTTTACTTTTTAGTTTAACAAAAAATTATCTTCGGAAAAATTTTAGATCAGAAGACTTACATGTATTTATGGAGTTCTACCTTGTTTTTCCTGTTGTCTTACAGGGAGTTTAGCATAGACCCACCATAAGCTCTTGCCAAAACAGGGGCTTGCCAGCCAGTAGATATACTTGCTAAAAAAATTCATCATCATCTTTGAATACTCACTGCCCTTTTTGCTCGGAGCCAACACACAAAGTGGTGAAAACGTTCACAGAACAAGCTAAGAAGTTTTTCTTTATGTAACACAGCACTCAGGTTAAGAAACTGACAGTTATTTGCCCACAGAGAAAAAATACAGCATTTAACATTCATATCCAAAGATTGTTATTTACCAGTGCAAACTGATTGACTTGAACATATAGAACTTCAACTTCTTTTTCACTGACTTCTGTGCCAAATCCTTTATATTCTTTGTAGGCCTCAAGGTAAGATCTCAGCCACTGTTCCTGTAATTTTCTGTTGGGATAAAGGCTGTAGTCTACTTCATTTACTCCTATGGGGAGGGGGAAAAAAAAAGATCTGAATCATAGAGTATCTAAAAAGACCATTAGAATCACAGTACCATAGACTGCTTCTCCCTCTCTCCCCCCACAAATACAAACACATAAATTGACGTGAAAAGACATAATTACTTTTACTTTGATACGATTTTATCAGTACTTGCTGGCAAGAATTTCTCACACAAGAATCACACAGCATTCAATGCAGAAAGATTTGTGGTGTTTTCTTCCACACGCACACTCCATTTCTTTTGAAATGCAACAAGTTTAGCTATAACAAATCTAAAAAAAAAAAAAATCTGCACTGCAAAGCAGAAACCCTCCCTGCATATCAAATAGTAGCTCATTTGCAACATTATCCAAAGCTGAATCCAGATACGTACATGCTGTCAGCTCATCTCTGTAAGATTAAACCTTTAGGGTAGTCTACTCTGCCCCTCCATACGTAGAATTTACAAGCCTTATCTCCGTAACTATTCTCTTCTGCCATATTGTTCTTAGCACAGAGCTCCAAATTTGTCTATACTAGACATTCTAAACAGCAGGCCACACAATCTACCAGGAATCCCAAGACTTGAATCACAGTCGATCACTGCCTGGAAGATGTGAAAAATATTTTTAATCCTATTTCAAAGTCATTCTTAGCCACGCCACTTCTTCCTTTGAAAAATACTCTTGGTCTCCTTTCCTCTGTTTAACCTTCCAGAAGACAAAGCAGTATGTATGCTCAGTAAACTAGATTCTAAACATGCTATTCCTGAGAAAGCACATTTGCAATCAGTAGTATGAGGCATATGCAATAGAACCACTCTACTATGGAAGCTCTAGATTTGAGATATAACACACAGAAAAATACTAACAAAGTGTCAGACCTACTGTACAAGTGCATCAGGAAAGAGGTTACAGTACACAGCTTTCTTGCACAGGGTAAGTAGCTTGACCTCAGCAGATTACATGCCACAAATCTACACTACTACTTACGGCCAGATGGTTGTGGCCATACATACTACTAACATCTGTGTCCACAACAATGACATTTTCATACCTAATTCTCCTTCAGTTCTATTTTATGACCACTGCAATCTCCTGGCACTTAAATTCTTTCCCATGTCTGACTATCAAACATAGCAAAGGTAACACACAGCTGCTCTTCAGTGGCAAAAGACTTCTTACTGTACCTAGCTCCCTGAAGATGTACTTGGACTCTTAAAAGTTCCAGATGAAATTAATCAAAAGCTTTCAGATGTATTTTGTGAAGAATTTAACTTTTAAGTCAGAGTATACTTGGTTAAGTTATCTGAACTTGAGATTTGAAAAGCAATGACAGGTACATAAACAAAGGCTCCTAATTTCACCATACTGTACTTTCCACCTATATTAATAATATATGTTTTCCCTATCACTCCATCTTCTAAAGTAGCACTGCATAAATAAGGTTATTTCACTCTTATGAAGTGAAAGGAAGGGGCATTTATCAGAAGAAACTCAAGGAGCAAATGAATGAATCTATCCACAACTTAATGCTAAAATCTGACACTTTTTCCAACCACATTCTTAGCCTCTACTTCTCATTTTAGTACATAACTGAAGGGCCAGTACTTAGCAAAGACATGCAAAACCACTGAAAAAAATGTAAAGTCTGCCATTTCTAACTTTGTGATCACACAGCATATTCTATTTATTAAATAACTACTTGAGCTGTTGCAGATACATCCACGGTATTTCATTAGTGTGTTGAGTCTCTGCTGTGTCATTTCACAGAACAAAACCTCAGAGCTGTAAAGGAAGGACATAACTGGCCTGCAAGTAGAGGCATTAACACATTTTTATACCATTAGATTAGTAGCTACATGCATGTATCTAGATATAGAAAGAAAATCAGAACATGGTACAAGAATGACAACTCAAAGTTTTTTTTTTGTGTCCACTTTACCCATAAATCCAATTTTTACCTGCAAATTCATTGAAGTGATTGCCAATGTCATAAGCCAGGTAGTTGTATCCAGAGTACTCATAGTCTATGAACTGCACATCACCTACGTGAGACAAGAGCAGCAACATCAGAGTCCACATTAAATGAAATCATGGCCCTAATCCTTTGGTGTCCTTTGAAGTTTTAGGGAAACAAACAAAAACAGCACATTTCTATCTTATTTGTACCCAGCTGCGTGCATTCAGATTTTACAAGGCAAAACTGTTTTTAAGGTATGAGTCTTCTTTGAATAGTCATTCAAGAGATCTCTCTTAATAATCAGAGCTTAAAATGCTCTTTTTTTTTTTTTTTAACTTTGATTAGAAGAATTTTAATTTCTACCACACGAGGGCATCAATTACCTTCAAAATGAGAAATATGGTGGACAAGCCTTAGTTTAAGCTTTACGTAGAAATCACAGATCACTTTTTCCCTGACTTAAAAAATTACAGTCCTATTTATTCTAAGACAAGTGTGCAACCATGGCAGACTAACATGTTGCAACAGGTTACTAAAGGAAATCCTTTTAGTATGCTGATATTCCCTGCTTTCTTCAAGCACACTTATTAAGCAAGACTTTTCTAATAGTTGCCCCTTTTTTGTTTTAAATTGGCTTAAACTACTTTCAAGATACCGATAAGACAATACTCAAAACAATGAAGCTACCTACTATTATGTAAATAAGAACTAACAGAGTGGCATCAGCCCCAAATGTTCCTAAATTACTTAATTTTTTTACTAGTCAGTAGTTATCTTTGGGAAGCCAGGAAAAGTGCTTCACTCAAAGATGTAACACAGCACTGAACCTGCTCAAGCAGGTCTACATCACAGCAACCTTTAAAGACATCAACAAATTTGAATAACTAGATAAAATTAGAGCTCTTTTATTTAAAGGGAGCAACAGAAAGGGAAGTAGTGTGGAACCTTAAAATGTAAAAGCTTACATTTCCCACACTGTGGTGAAATGGCTAACGTTCACAGTTGTACTCATCTGCCTCTCTATGCTCATTCTTTCAATGGCTAGTTGCATATTTACTCTATAAAAACATACTCATTACAATGAACAATCTTGTTAGCATCACTTAAAAAAATCTTATAGATACTATTGCTATTATATCTCTATCAAAAAAGCAAATTAAGAATCACTTTAAAAGTTAACTGCTAGACATTTTCTAGGCTAAGGATTAAGAATCTAATACTATGCCTCCTAAGGATTTATGAATATTGCACATATCAAATACAATAGCTATATCAGGCAAACAGCCCAAGCAAGTTAACACAGAACAACTTTGTTAGAAGTGTTCCTTCTGTCTATGCAGTTCATCATTACCATGTTTGAAACAATAACACGTCTATCTTTTCCAGATGCATCCATCTTCTTGTCTAAGCACTTATAATAGAAGTTAAACCCCAAAACACTAACAAAATCATTTAGTCACAATCCTCCAAGTCAGATTTACCCTTGCTTCCACAGAAAAAGAGGATTGCTTACCAAAGTTATGAGGTTAAACCTTTTAGGCTCTGACAAACCAACATGAGAATGCAAAGTGGCAAGCTCCTCCCAGGAAAATCTTGCTGGCAATGGAAAATTGAAGGGTCTGAAGGGACAAGAAGTTTTACAGCAGATGCAGCCAAGATCTTATGATACTGTCACAGACCAACTTCTGCCTCTACTTGACTGGCAGATTCATACACTTGCATGTGCTTGTGCTTCTCATTGGTTCTTTAGCACTTCTTTTAAAAACAAACACCTGTAAGTTACAAGCCAGTCAAACCGTACCGCCCAACCCTGGTTAATGCTCCGCAACACAACTGACCTCCTGATGCCCCCCACCCTAACATCATTAGAAACTGACTGTATTCAGCTTTTCCCCACATTAGATAAAAACATAGCAGCTTAAAGTCTGCTTGTAAAGTACCAGGATAAGATATACCTTAAAATTTCTTCAGTGTCTAAATTTCATCTTGAACATACCTGTATGTGCCATTATGTATGTTTTCAATTGTAGCCAAAATTTAATTTTTACCATAAATAATAGTCTTATGAGATAAGAAATTGAATCTAATAAGCTACAGATGATGCTGTTACCGGGCACTCTCCAATGGGGAGGCACACAAAAACAAGCGATGCGAGAAAACATCTGCTCAGTGCACTTATGTAGCACTATGCATATATCACAAGGCAGCAACAATGGCACATGTGATCCATAGCAGATGAAGAAAGTTTGGCAACTCATATGTGATTAAGACAAAACTTCAAAGTAAAAAGATCCTGCATTCTTATTAATCTCTTTCAGACTTGTGCTAGCATGGAGTTTTAACTACCTTTAGAAGAAGCATCATTCTCATTGTTTAAATATCCACAGTATTAAAATTTCCTTTTAAGATTCACTGCAGTTAATATTGCAAAGCCACTTCTAAAGGTATGGTTACACTATAGTTAATCAGTTTCCTTCGAGGTTTTAAAGAAACACAGTGAATTGTACATCCCACCAGTATCAATGTGAGCAGGGAGACCAATAGTACAGTAGTCTGAGCAGATCCGTGTTTTATTGAAAGACATTACTTAGAACTATGCTCTGTCATCTCTCTGGAGCAGCTACTGTTACCAACAGAAATAAAGGTGTTGAAGAATATTTGCTTTTCAAGTACAATATATCCTTTTCAAAGGATGCCTACTACAGTAGGCAACACAATCTCACCTATGAACACTGTATAAAGATACAAAATGGAATCCATGTTGTGTTTTATACACCTGCAATTCAGTTTTCAAATAGAAGAAAAGGTAATCAAGAGGACATCTGTTTGATCTCCTCGGGGAACTGAAAGGCAGGAGAGTGAAGACACCTCTCTATAGCTGCCCTTCATTTTCAATGGTTTAATGAAGTAAACACTTTAACAAGCAAATACTAGCTGTAGTTACTACAGCAGGATGACATATCAAAAGTTCTCTCCTATCCTGCTCATCAGGTGAGCCCCTGACATCCTACAAGACAGTTTCAGAGAAGACAGTGATCCAGGCTATTACCTTTTCTGAAAATAACAAAATAGGGTCATACACCCACAGAATAATTTTAATTATAAATACCCAATATAGCTTTGCAAAATTAAAATAGATTTTTAGATCAAAACTAGAAGCCTTAAACATACCTCAGTCTTCAGAAGCACTGAGCACCCACAGACTCCTACCAAAGATCATAGAAAACATTGGGTAGGCAGAGGGAATAAACAGAACAAAACTAGCCATCTACCTACACACTTAACTTCCTGGCAGAAGAATTTAAAACATTCAAAAAGAACACAGATATAGACAAAAGAATACTGGTATTTGGTCTTTTTGAACAGCAAGATTTGAGTATTTTTAGAACACATTTTGGATATTCCAGCTTATGTTAAAAAAAAAAATTGAACACCATCAGAACAGGAACTCTATAAATGTGCTATTAAGCACATTTTGATTATCTAGATGTCCAAATTGCAATTAAGAGCAACAAGAATTCTGAGTTGTATCCTTCAAAGAGTAATTTGCACTGATAATTATTATGAGTTATGTAAAATAACACTTACTAATTTCATATCCTGAACAACTGAGAATGGCCATTAACAAAGCAGCAAGAAGAGGCCAAGTTCTCTCAGTCACAGCATGAGCAAATTCAAATCAGATAACTTACAATCCAGCAAATGAAAATAGCATTCAACATGCTATTCCAGTCTTATAAATAAAATGTAAGGACATGAGATTGATTCTTCTCAGAAGCAGCAGGACAATTATAATTTTTCTTCCAAGTCTGAAAATTTAACATTAATTTAATCCAGAGTCCAAGCCTAAAAGCAAGGCACTGGGATAAGTTACTATCATTCTAACTGCACTGGACAAGAGTTTAACATCTGTTGTCAGCCTGTAGTTTAAAAACAAAAACATATTGAATAGATGACCTAAGCATTTAGAAACACAACAAATACAGTGTTATTAAAACCAGTGAGTTATTTTGTGCCAGCTTCTGAAAAGCTAGATAAACATTACCGGCACTGCTCAATCTTTAACGAAGAGAGAGGAAAAAAACCTAAGTAATTAATCTAGAACACTGAGTCTCTCTCCTCAGTTCCAGTTTAGGGTAAGCCAAGATGTTGCTGACAAGTCTCTCTAGATGATTAAGCAAATCTAGTAAAGTGTCAGCATCATCACAGCTTCATACAGCCAGGTGTCATTTCTAATGAAGTGCAATCTTTAAAGATTCTATTTTGTGCTCATGAAGTTCTGTATATAACAACATAAGGTTTTGCAGTGCTTAACAGAACTCCAGCAAAGAAATGTAGAATTATAATTGAGGCTCCTCCACTTCTACAAACAATATTCCATAAGATTGCACTGATGGGCAAACAGCTTCACTAAGCTTTTGCTCTGCAATAAGAGCACTATAAGAAAGAGCTTTCAAAGGACAGATATAAACATACTACAGCTGGCATTGAGGTTTGGTTACTATAAAAAGGTATCTGCTGTACCTAGACTGCAGAAGTCTTACAACATGTGCAACATGCAAACAGGTGTAACAATCTACCTATTTCAGATTTCCAAGTCTTTTTTCCCCAGCCAGCCTGTAGCCAAAGTGCTTTAATGTACACCTCCCACTCCTCCCCACCCTGTCCCCAACACTAAACACTCACACACTGGTTATTGTAGGATTGCTCATAAGTGATGCACTGTTCGCATTGTTTTTTCCTCCATTCTGTTTATAAAAAGAAAAGCATATAGCAGTTGTTTTAAAGTAGGAACTTTAAGTCTATTGACCGTGACAGCGAGCCTTTTAGAGGAATTCCTGATTTATTTCACATTGAATCATGGTTCTACTATGAAAAGTGACTAAAAACTACTTTTTACCTCAATGAGTGATTGAGGAATGTTAAAACCCCAAGTACCTTCAGAACTGAAAAAACCTACACAAGAACAATATATTGGTTTGGGTACTATATCACAACTCCAGCGTAATATCACACGCTGATTTTTTTATTCCTGGTCACTCACTTCACACAATTTTGACTGAAATACCAACAGTTACTGAACTGTTGCAAACACATGAAGTTACTAAAAAGATCAAGTCATCCTCATTTCAGAAGGATCTTGAATATCTAACCTGACGAATTTACTGAACTCAGCTACGTTAAATGGGAGGAAAGCTGTGCAAATGTAACCAATTTTACCACATCATTTTTGCATCTTGAAGTTTGCCTTCTCTGTTTAATTTATTTTTTAATTGATTAATTTAGTAACCGAACCTCAAATCAATAAAACAAACTGAGTTTATACAGAAGCTTTACAGATTCTATTTGAGGCATTCTTTATTAAAATTATTTTGAGTTAGTTTATAATACAAACAAAAGTATTTAATCTTTACCAAGACCTTTGCCTTTAACTGATTGAATGAAGTATGTATTTAAAGCAACCTAAGATGCCTGAGTATCTCATGCAGAACATAAATGTTATGACTGAATGCAGTGCTAAGTATCACTGAAATACTTTGTCATGAAGATCTTTCCTTGCAGCAACATAATCAAACCAGAACAACACACAGATTACAGGAGATGTCTTCAGATTTTTTTTTTTTTTTACACTTGTATAATTTTTCTCCTTCATACAACTGGAATAGAAGTATCATGAACAATGACAGACTTTGAAACCTAGTCATGCAGACAGGTTATAGAAAAACTAATTAATTAAATAAAACCAAATAGCAAATTTTTCTCTGTACAGTAACATGTATGACAATTCAACAAAGTAGTATTTACACCAGTATCACTACCATTACATGGAGTCTTAAAAGCTCAAATTGAGTTCACCAACATTACCAACATTAAAGGGACACCACTGATGTCGCAAATGAAACTACAGAATAAACAAACTAAGCCACTACTTACTGCTTAGCTCACTACCTACCTCGTTTCTTGTTGTAAATAATATTCTTACACAACAGGTCATTGTGACAGAGTACCACTGGTGATCCTAAATTTGACAGTCTTTCCTTCATCCAGGACATCTCTTCCTGAAGAACTTGAGGACTTGGAATTTCACTTAGAAACCTTTTCAGGTGTAAGAAGTTTGAGAGTTAATTTTTAGCAGTGTGTTCCATACCAAGCATCTGTAATGAAATAACTTAATTATTTTCCTCTACACTCTTATTTCAAATAATTCAACAGATTTCTCTCAAACTAAGGCACTATTTCCCCTAGCACCACTACAGACAAATTATGACAATATTCTATTCTGCCCTCCCCCAAGAAATTCTATAGATTATCTATTGTAAACATGACAGTAGTCTACTCACGAATAGAATTTGAACTCAATCCTGCACATTTATGAAGATAAAAAGTTTACAGCATGAGTTTCATTCACTTGTTTCTCACATTACAATATACAACTGCACATAGCATATTCATCTAGCCAAAATAAATAAAATTCCTTTTTCTTTCCTCTTTAATCACAGTAAATATACTTAGGTTGACATCTTTAAGATTTTTCAATTACTTCTGTCTAGAGAATTTTGTTGTAAAAAACCACAACTTTGCCATTTACAATGCAGAGAGAAAAGCACTTCGTATCAATGATATCCAACAAATTCTAGAATAACCATTTATCTATAAAGAGCATTTAGGTTGGAATCTACTCATTAAGGAAATTTGATGATACTATACATACAACTTCAAATTACAATTTTAGCTTTAAAGTCTGACTGTGCCTCCCTGTCATTCTGAACAGCCTTTTATTAACTTTGAATTTCAAACCAATTATTTATTTATTTGTTTGAGAAAAAAAAAATATATATATAGTCTTCCATCCATTGCCCTGAAAAAATGTAATGTCAGGAAAGCACACAATGATCAAATACCTACCTTTTATTCACTTCCTCATCTGCAAACTCTGTGGGTATAAGAGAGAAGTATTTCCCCATCTTCAGCCACAGGTTAGATTTAGGGATCCATCCATTGTGAGCATGGATAGTATGGATTTTAGCAAGCTGCCTGGCAATGAGTCTTCAAAAAAAAAAGTTAAAATTAATGTTACTTTCACATTTCATCATTAGACAGTTCTTATCTTTTCCAGCAAGAAGACAGGACAACAGAAACATTTAATAGAAAAGTGATAAGAGATCCAAAAAAGAAATCAACAAGAGTATAAATAAGAGCAGCACAGCCCACAGGGTAGCATTTTTGAAGACTCATAACATCTTTAAGCAGTACCATGTGTGAAGCACTAGCGAGGAGAGAAACTGGAATTCAGCTACACCATGTATATTTGACATGTCTACTCTTTGAAATGCACATCTTCAGAAGACTTGACTTAAATTAGTTTAAGCTTTTAGGTATCAAATACATTTCACTGCACACATAAAAAGCTAAAACAAACCTGAAAACATCAGCATTTTCTATTCGCTGCTAATATAAAAAAGTCTCAGTGAAACATTTTGAATCTATTCTCAAGTGAAATGTACTAGAAATAGAGCTAGGATTCACTTTAATGAAACCCGGCCCTTCTAACTGCACCACGTTAAATTATTTCCCAAACAGCAACGTTCAAGCACTGGACACTCACAACAAGTAATACTCTAATGTGTATGAAGTCTTCTTTGAGAGCAGCAAGGATCATTTTTTCACATCTGAAATATCATGATTTACTATGCAAAAACAGTGAACCACCAAAAGTTTGAAAGTCAGCTTCACACGGCTTAGAATAACATTCACTTTCTGTCTGCTCATAAACTAAGCCTGAGATCCCTTGGATTTGACAAGACATCATATCACAGAACTTGTATAATAAAATAATTAAGTAAAAAGCTTACCTGAAAATATCAGGATTGCATACATGCTCAGGATCCAGAGCCTCTCCTTGCATGAACTCGTAGCACAAGCCATTGTTGAACGTACAGTATAGCTGAGGTGCACAGCCATGGGCCTGCAACACACGGAAACTCTTCACTTCTTCATCACGGTCGACTAAGAGCTCAGTCTTGTTTCCATAGATCCTAACTAGAACTACATCATCTGTTATGTCACCCACGTAGCAGCCAATTAATTTATTGGTGATTCCATCAGTAAACAGCTGAAAAGTAAAATAACACATTGCTTAGTTTTGCATCTTTATTTCCATGGTTCAAGAAAAGAATCAAGCAAGGTTACTCTTTGGCTCAGAAACCTGATATTTAAAGAAAATCAATCTTTAAAACACAGGAAAATCACTGAGAAAACTGCAAAGTTTTTCCATAGAACACACCAAAAGAAAATAGGCCAGTGTAAGAACATGCTGCAGTGACTACAAAAACACTACACGTAAAAGGCAGTAGATGAATGTTTAATGTTGTAAAACAAGTTCTCACATAACCACTCTGAAACTGATAGTTTAAATTGGCTGAAATCAAGGCCTGAACAAGGTAGCAATCCCAAAATTGTTGTATTGTGAACACAGGCAGCACAAACAATTTTGATGCACTTCAGAATTTCACTATTTTCTGATAAGTGCACAAACAGAAAAAAGATATTCCTGGAGTTCTCAAGTATTCCCTTTAACAAAGTGGAATGGAGGTAAGACACAGTCTAAGTTCAGTGTTACCTTCCCACTACCAGTAAGTTACCATTACCATTTGAGAACAAGTCCTAAAGTCACTTTGGCTCCTCTACAAATGTGAAAAAGCACTTTGAATTCAAGACCTCAGTTTTCAGCCTCAGGTACCACTCCAAGTTTAAGAGCTTCTGGCAAGACTCACTCTTTTCATCATTCTACTTCATAACTGGTTCATTCCATTCAGGAGACAAACAAGCACTATAAGTCTTTAATGATAAAGATGCACACAAAAGCAATTTTAAAGCCCTGCAATTTACTTTTGATTCAGAGACCAACCTAGGGATTGATGCCTAAATAGACAGAGGTGAGGCAAGCGACCCTCCACAAAAATAAGTAAAAACATTACAGGTTTACATCTAATGACAACCTATTCCTTGCTCTTCAAGTAACAGTGGAGGTATGGTTGCTTTAAGTTCCCAGCTATGGAAAAAAGGAAGAAAGAAAGAAAAACTGACACTAACTACTGCTTCTCCTTTCAGTATTTGATGATGGGACTAAACTAGTCACTAAAAGAAACTGAGTCCTACCAATGCTACCAGGTAAGTTGGCTAAAACCAGAGTTACTAAGAAGCTTTGTGCACACAGTTATATGTAGTCAACATTTGAAAGCAACACAAAAGAAATAGCAGTTCTCTCATCTTTTACAACCTGAGGAATTTTACCAGCTTAGAAAATAGGTATTCGGTGCTTTGAAACTTTGTGCCTTGTCAACACAGACTGGGTTCTTGCTGGATGAGCATCATCTGTGTTAACTCTGACTTCTAAGTACGTGACTAAGAGGAAGACATTAACATTTTCAGGTGACAAGCACACTTTCAAACAGCCAACGGCACAAGCAAAAGCATCAGTGTTTTCATGACTACTCAACAGCCCTCTGCTGTTTTAAATATGAGAAGTAAGTAAAGTGCAAAAGTACCTTTCAGTATCTTCCACTAGAATAAATGACCAGAAAGTAGCTTCAATTTGGTTAACATATGTATATAGATACACACTATTTCTACTTTGGTGTGCACCTTTTAACTTTAACTTAACTTCCTTTTTTAGGTGGCACCATTCATCATTAATTCTCATTCAGTGGGTAGATTACTTGATGGATAAGAAACTGGTTGAAAGGCCGCAGACAGAGGGTGGTCATCAATGGCTCTATGTCCAGGTGGAGGCTGTAACGAGTGGTGTCCCCAGGGGTCTGTCTTGTGACTGTTGCTCTTTAACATCTTTATCAATGACATCAATGACGGAATCGAGTGCACCCTCAGCAAGTTTGCTGACTACACCAAGCTGAGTGGTGTGGTTGACACGGTTGAAGGAAGGGATGCCATTCAGAGGGACCTCGAGAGGCTAGAAAGGTGGGCCCGGGTGAACGTGATGAGGTTCAACACGGCAAAGTGCAGAGGTTTGCACTTGAGCCGGAGGAATCCCAGGCATCCCTACAGACTGGAAGGAGCGGTCCTTGAGAGCAGCCCTGTGGAAAAGGACCTGGAGGTCTTGATAGATGAAAAACTTAACATGAGCCAGCAGTGTGCCCTTGTTGCTCGGAAGGCAAATGCTATCCTCGGCTTCATCAAAAGAGGGGTGGCCAGCAGGGACAGGGCGATGATTGCTCCCCTCTACTCTGCACTTGTGAGGCCCCATCTGGAGTACTGCATCCAAGTATGGAGCCCCAGTACAAAAAAGACAGGGAGCTGTTGGAGAGGGTCCAGAGGAGGGGCCACAAAGATGATCAGGGGACTGGAGCACCTCCCCTGTGAGGACAGGCTGAGGGAGCTGGGCTGGAGAAAAGAAGGCTTCAATACCTAAAGGGAGCCTACAGAGGGGAGGGGAATCAACTCTTTGAAAGGGTAGATAACTGCAGGACGAAGGGAAATGGTTTTAAGTTGAGGGAGGGAAGATTTAGGTTGGGTGTCAGGGGGAAGTTGCTTGACAAGAGAGTGGTGAGGTACTGGAACAGGCTGCCCAGAGAGGTTATGGATGTCCCATCCCTGGAGGTGTTCAAGGCCAGGTTGGATGGGGCCCTGGGCAACCTGGTCTAGCATTAAATAAGGAGCTTAGTGGCCCTGCATGTGGCAATGGGATTGGAGAGGGTCATGATCCTTGAGGTCCCTTCCAACCCTGGCCATTCTGTGATTCTGTGATTCAGTGAAATCTGGCACACATAAGATACAAGCAGATTCACGGTTCAACTACCTGTATTTGAACATTTTCAAACTAGGGAGACACTTAGCTGCAAGAAGCTTTTGCTTTACCTGTAAAAGCAACTTGTAGACTCTGAGGAATCTCAGAAATTCATAATTGTAATGAAAGCCAGAAAAGCAGATAAATATTGAAGCCTATTTATCAGAATTAGAATAAGAAGTATTCCACAGAAACAGTCTGAGCTCCTTATTTAATGGTATGCATTCAAGATTCTATCCCGTCACCACTGCCACATTTCCTCTCCCTCCAGGAGGAAGTCGGATGGTTTTGGCTTTTGTTGACGGCACCCCATCCAAGATGTGGCCCTAATTTTGAAAAACATAGTAGTATTGGAAATAAACTACCACTTGTTTGAACAAGTCTCATGGATTTGGAGAAATCAGGTATCAGGAACAGTTGTTTGATTTTTATATTATATATATGTTTTTTAATTTAAATCCTAAAGAAAAGATCCTGTAATCAAGTCCACTATTCAGGAGGGAGAGACAAGACTTCACAAAGAAAGATGTTATATTTAAACTATCATGCCTTGCTTTCCTCGGAATCTTTATGTGGTGAAGCAAACAAGCTCAGACAAAGTAAAAACAGAGTGGGGAATCAACTTCTCATCACAGTGACAAAAGAAAAAAAAAAAAAAAGCACAGCATCCCTAAATAGAAATACAGAATGCCAGAAGATATGAAGGCATTCTATTTGCTTAAACAGCTACAAACACTCAAACTTTTACAAATAGATTCAGCAAATCATGCTTGTCATCTACATGTACAGAGGCCAATCATAAAGCTAAATTAGACTACTCATATAATTCACTCAAAAATGAGGGCTTTACAATTTATGGACACTTATTAGCACCTATTATTTTAATAATCCATTACAAGAGATGAATGACAGTCTTTAGCAGTCTTTTGAAACAGCAAAATAATGCACTATTAGGGAACTAAAAAAAAGGTTTAGCACCATGTCTACTGATTTTTACAGCAAAATGAATACATTTATACTCTAACATCACTCTGTTCTTTTGCGTAATTCTCATGCAGATGATACAAATGCTCTAAGATAAGAAAGATGTGCCTGAGCTACTGAACAAGATTACCTGATTTGTCCACACAGATTATTTTTGTGTTTCAAGCCATGAACAACTCCATTATAATGCACAACCTTTTCCCTCCAATCATTACAGAACTGTTTAGGTCAAAAGAGACTTCTTGTGATCAGCGAAGTACTGATTCCTACATATTTTAGAATACAATTAACTCAAACCACCATAACCTAGAGCTACTTGCTTCTGAAACATACTGATGTTGGAAACATATGCTTTGTGCTCTTAAGTAGCATTCAGCTAAGGCAAGTAGGTGTCTGGTTCTCAGAAAAAATAACTTACTTAGCGACATCCACCTATAAAGTAAGTTTACTAAATCAGGGCAAAGACTTTTACCTTAGAAGGATTAATGTTTTATAAACATGAGCACCTGACACATAGGCAGATCTTGATTTGTCCCACAAAGTACCTTGAAACAGGTTGCACAACCTCTTAACAATCACACCCCTGCTGGAAGTCCCTGAGAAAGCAAGTCATAACCCCTGCCCCTGTAAAGAGGTCACTCGTGGAAGTGCATTCCAGAACTACAGCTAGTGCTAGGGTGTTTAATACACATATCACATATCCTGACCAACCTCTACCGGATCCAGTGAAATAACATCTCTCTTTGCCCACTCTTTTTCCCCAGTAGGTATTCACATTTGGACTCAGTTCTGGTCTTAGTCCTGCACAGGTATATCAACATCTCAGCTAGCATCAAACAAAAATCAAAGGTCAGGCAGAATTTGAACATAGGGAGGCAGAAATAAGCCACAGATGTTGATGCAGAAAGCTAAGCACAGGGTTGATACTTTGGACTGCCACAGATGGAGCTCAGGAGCAGAAGGTGGCTCTGTGCACCATTTTGTTATCCTCAGCAGCAAAAGAAAAGGATTAAGTTACACTATTATCTTGACACTCCTGTGTGATAAAAGAGAGATCATATTCAAACTCTGAAAAACCACTCTTTAGTAACTTATCAGCTTGCCTGAGTAGCAAGTGAGCATCATCCCTGGCAACCCATTTTAAGAATGGGCAGACTCCTGATAGAGGAGCAAAAAATGTAACCCTGCTACAAGAAAGTAGTTGGAAAGTTGATCGATCCTATTTGTAAGATAAAGTCAAACTCATAAGTAAGAAATTTTACTTGAGTCCAAAGTCAAGCACACAAGACAAATGGTCTAGGTGAATAGAGCAGTCAGTGCTCTAT